AGAGGTTCGGCCAGGAGGAGAGAGACAAGGCGGTAATATTGCAGTGAAATACGGCTTGGATTGATGCAAAAGAAATAGATATATTTGTGTATTTATGTAAAGAGTGTGAATGCGTGTATATATATGTGTCTGTGTGTCGTGTGAGACCAGTTGTCGCGACTGGTAGCAGCGATCGGCGGTGTATGCGTGTGTGTTTACAAAGGCGGTGTCGTTGTGAATGTACGGTGTGTGTGTGTAATGCGAGTGTGTATGTGCGGCGGGCACGATTCGCCGGGCTCGATGACGCGCGGCGTACGGGACGCGGGCTTACACCGGGAACACGTGCGATGTGCGAGACGCGTCGCAATGCGAGGAGCGATACGGCGCTCCGAAAGGTGCGCTTTCTGCGTGCACGCGTGATACGGCACGACTTCGACTGTCGGAAGCGTCCGACGGAGGCGGGCAAATGCCTACCCCCTGGTTCTCGTCAAATCCGGTCACGTATCACGGGTATGCGGAACTCTCGGCTCGGTCGCCTCGTGCAAGGCTCTCGGAGCGGTCGCTGCAGCTGGTCGGAAACGGCCGACAGAAGCAGAGCGAGCCCTACCGCCGCGGTGCAGCGAGTCGGTTCGAGGAGCCTGCTAGGAGCGGTGAGTCGGAGAGCGGAGCTGAGTGCAATAGCTGACCGGTAAATGCTGGTAGTGGCAGGAAACACCCTTACCACCGCTGTATTGCCTTGGAGATCGGAGCTAGGAATCGGTCGGTGCCAGGAATCGGATCAGGAGCAAAAAGCCCGAATTATTCTCTCGGAAGCGCTTTTATACTAATTGTTGCTCCCGCTCGTATTGTTCCGGAATCATTCGGTGACTCTCGGCGTGGAACAATACGAGCGAGAGCTGCGGCGCTCGGCGTGGTTCGGCGACGTTCGGGTTTCGCAGACTTGCGAGTTTACGCGGCCTGGAATTATGTTTGCATTTTCTTAAATGTTTCGAGCGCACCGCGCTCTCATCGCGTACGGTGACCGGGGGGTCACCGTAGCGGCATCCGGCGAGTTGACATTGCCGGGAACGATGCAGTTCTGGGGGTGCATCGATACATCTATTAGAATTAAGCTAGCAATAGGGCTGTACACACCTTCACGCTCTCCTTTTTGTTTCTTTCTCATACAATTATATTTTACCAAAGCAACTTGTCTTGCGTCCATTTATAGCGATTTGAAAGTAGTTTCTTTCAACGGGGGTGGCTTTTGTTCGATACTCGAATGGTCAGTATCTCGCGTTACCGACAGTAGCGGGCTTACCTACCGGAATGAAGTGTAGCTAGCGGTCTTTGAGCGTTTCGGACGCCTTCGGGGGGGGGTTTCGGGTACGGTCGGAATCGAGAAAAAGAAGGGAGAGACGAGAGAGAACACGCGGCCGCTATAGAAACCAGCAGAATATCTTTGTAACAACTGCATTAGCTAAAAAATAAAGGCTATAAGGTGTATCGAGAGTGAGTGCTATATATAGTGCAAAAAATTCCTTTCCTCTATCGTCAAATTAAGTAGCAGAGGCTTCAAGCATCGCCTCTGAATCGAAACCCAGAGGGACACATCCCTCGCCCACGTATCCCGAGGAAGCAAACACCGGGATAACACGTGGTGCCGGCGCCATTGAGAACAAGAAGAACGGCCCGGCCACGAACATTAAATGGTCCTTCGAGCCGGATTCGCCGACGAAACGCTTCGCCAAGAATCTCGGGCTAAGCAATCAAGACTCACTCTCGAAAATAAGGGCTGCGCACTCAAGACTGAGTGCCTAGCGGTCCATAGCCGACGGGGCCTTGACGCAACGGATTCGCAACCGTGCTTGCGAGCTATTGGTCGGCATCAATTGCTTTCATCAACGAAGGCATCATCCAAGCAGCGTGGCAACAGCCACCCTGAGGGGCGGACTATGCGGCGTCAACTTGTCACGATCGCACTGCTTCCGGCAACGCTCGTCGATCACGGCGTGGACGGAGGACGACCGACACAACGGCCATTGGTGACGACGACGCATCTTCCGGCAACGCTCATCGATCACGACGGGGACGGAGGACGTTTCGCCACAACACAAAGGCGCCGCCTCTTCGTACGACAGCGCGCATACAACGATTGTAAGGTAGGGGCAATTAGCTCATTGTCGGTGCCGATTAGTATCTAAAAGGGCTAACTATTTCTCCCGCACGTCATGGCGAACGACAACGATGTCTCCGCGCTCAGGCGCAGGCGCGGAACGATTCTCGCGGCTTGTACGCGAATTCGCACATTTACGGAGGCGGTCGTTTCCGTTACACCGTCTATTGCGGCTCAGCTCAAGGAACGCCGGGCAAAGCTCGACGGTTATTGGGCGAAATACGACTCCGTTCAAACAAAATTAGAAGGGCATGATGAAAACGAGACAGAAAATCGTGCGGCATTCGAGAATTCGTACTACGCGTTGTCGGCGAGATGCGCGAGATGCTCTATCCGGTAGCGGCGCTCCGCGCCTCGGCGTCTCCATCACCATCGTCTTCCGGTTTCGTGCCCGCGCAGCCCGTCAATCACATAAGATTGCCCAAATTGGATTTGCCGAAATTTTCGGGAAAATACGATGAGTGGTATCCCTTTTTTGACAGCTTCAATTCTCTCATTCATATAAACGCGTCGTTAAGCGACGTTCAAAAGTTGCAATATCTAAGGGCATCACTCACGGGTGACGCGGCCAAGATAATTAGCGCATTGGAAATCTCAGACCCGAATTACCAGGTGGCGTGGGCCATCTTGAAGGAGCGATACGACAATCGACGCGAGATAGTACAGAGCCACATAAAGGCTATTTTTGAATTGCCATCAATGGCTAAGGAAAATATTACTGAATTGCGGCAAATCGTGGACGGTGCCACCAGGCACATCCATGCCCTTCAGGTATTAAAGCGCCCCACCACCCAGTGGGACGATTTATTAGTGTACATTCTAAGTAGCAAACTCGACGCGCTTACATCGCGAGAGTGGCAGCTATCGTTGACGGGCACCGCGTTGCCAACCTTAAAGCAATTCACAGATTTCGTCACTCACCGCTGCATAACCCTCGAAACTAGCAGTAAGAACAAAATTGTAAACGCGCGAGCGCAATCGCAGTCAAATACGAAACAACAATCCTGCGTTGCGTTCGTGAAAGCGAAGTGCGTCTTCTGCAAGGGGAAGCATCTCGTGTATCACTGTGAGAGCTTCTTGGCGTTGCCCGTCTCACGAAGAATAGCCGAGGCAAGAAAGCGCAAGCTTTGCGCAAATTGTTTGCGTCCGGCGGATCACGCCGCGAATAAATGCCCTTCAGGTAGTTGTAAGATTTGCAGGTTAAAGCACAACACATTGCTGCACCTCACTGTGGCGTCGGCAAAGTCGGATGATAGCCAGTCGTATGACCGCGTTACCACAGAACCGGCGGCGGCCGATACTGCCCCTGCCGTCGTCTCGAGTAGTGTCGCTTCTTCCAAACGCGGCGGTGTCATGCTCTCGACTGCGGTCGCTTTTGTGCAGGACGACGAAGGACATTGTAAGCCCTGTCGCATATTACCGGATTCGGGATCGCAAGCGAATTTTGTATCCCAAACGTTTATAAACTCAATCAAGGTCAAAACACGCTCATTGAACGTATCTATTTCAGGCATAAACAATACCACAACGCGATCATTTGAAGCAGCTGAATTAATATTACATTCTAGAGCGAATTCATTTAGCATCGCGGTGGATTGCATCGTCACCGAACGGGTGACCGGTAAACTTCCGGCGGCATCATTCAAAAGAAACGTTTTTGAAATTCCCCGCAATATCGAACTGGCAGATCCGAAGTTTTATGTTGCGTCGGAAATTGACATCCTAATTGGCGCGGAGCATTTTTGAGATTTGTTATGCGTAGGGCAAATCCAACCGTCAGCGTCGTGCCCCACACTGCAAAAGACCCGCTTCGGATGGATATTGGCGGGGCGGTCATGCGCTACATCGGGTCTGTCAACGGGTGTGCATTCCTTTCACACGTCAATTACTAATTCGCAATTGCATGAACAATTGACAAAATTCTGGGAGATAGAAAACGCGGCGGCGGCGTCCGATCCGCGTACCGCGGAAGAGATACAGTGCGAGCAACATTTCATCAAGAATGTGTCCCGCACCGAGCAGGGTAGGTTCGTTGTGAAACTGCCTTTTGCGGAACCCGCGCCGCATGCTTTCGTGAGTTCACGAAGCATCGCGTTAAAACGTTTTAAAGCCACAGAGAGACGATTTAATCGCGATTCGGATCTCAAAGAACAATACTTTAAATTCATGGGAGAATATATCGCGTTAGGTCACATGAGGCAAGTCGGCGAGGGGGAGGACGAGGATTCAGAATCCTTTTACTTGCCGCATCATTGCATTTTCAAGTCGCCGGCTTCTAATAAATTCCGTGTCGTGTTCGATGCCTCCGCTAAGGACGCGGCGGGTGTGGCGTTAAACGACATACTAATGGTCGGTCCAACCGTACAGCAGGATCTATTCACGATCTTGCTGCGCTTTCGCACGTTTCGTTACGCACTATCAGCGGACATTGTAAAAATGTACCGTCAGATTCAGGTGCATTTATCTCAAACACGCTATCAGCGCATTCTTTGGAGGGAAGAATTCACTTCCAATATCGTAGCGTATGAGCTACTTACTTTAACTTACGGCACGTCCCCTGCCTCATTTTTAGCCACGCGGTGTCTCATGTGGTTATCAGAACATGAAGCGGTTGAATGGCCCCGTGGAGCGGCATGTGTTGGGCGTGACTTTTACGTCGATGACATGCTCACCGGGGCCGACACATTCAACGAAGCGGTGGCAATACGCGACGAAACAATTAAAGTGCTGCGCGCGGGCGCTTTCGAGCTTGGCAAATGGGCATCCAATCACTCGGGATTATTGAAAGGCATTAAGAATCAAAATGAAAACCCGGTAGTAATTCAGGATGCTGCGGAGTCGTCCGTGTTGGGCATTCACTGGGTTCACTCGCGGGACACCTTCCGTTTTTTATACAGTCCTGATGGCGATTCCGCGGCAGTGTCCAAGCGAAATATATTATCGGAGATTTCTAGACTTTTCGACCCTCTCGGCCTGCTGGGCCCGGTAATCGTTCGGACAAAACTAATTCTACAAGAGCTTTGGCAGCTGGGCGCGCATTGGGACGAGTCCGTTCCACAGGAGCTGCACACGCGTTGGACAGCGATTAAGTCGCAATTAGCGGATATCAATCACCTCGATATTCCGCGATGCGTCAAGTATGCCGCGGATTCCGGGCTAGTGCAGATACATGGCTTTTGCGATGCGAGCCAGCGAGCGTACGGGGTATGCGTATACGTGCGAACGAAGCTCGAGGATAACACATATCGCGTTGAACTTCTATGTTCAAAATCCCGCGTGGCACCTCTTAAGGCCCTCTCACTACCGAGGCTCGAGCTCTCGGCAGCGCTTTTATTAGCCAGATTGATGCACAAAATCCAGTCGGCGTTCGATGTAACCGGCATCCGGAAATATATGTGGGCGGATTCCACGATAGTGCTCAATTGGATCTCTTCACCGTCGCGAAGGTGGTCGGTATTCGTGGCGCACAGAATTGGGGAAATTCAAGAACTGACAGAGGTGGCGAGTTGGCGGCATATCAGGTTGGAAGACAATCCGGCCGATTGTTTATCGCGCGGGTTAAGTCCGCATGACGTAACAGAATCAACGATGTGGTGGCACGGGCCGGCATTTTTGCAGCACGATGAGGAATTGTGGCCCAATTCCGACTTCGCGTGCTCTCCACATAATCTTCCGGAGCAAAGAAAATGCGTAGCAACGGTAACGGTCTCCGATAGTTCCATCGTCAACGAGCTATTAAACAGGCATTCGAGCCTTGATAAAACGTACCGGGTAATCGCATATTGTTTGAGATTTTTTAAAGCACGGCATCCGCATGAGCCCGGGAAGTTTATCACGCCGCGGGAGAAGCAATTCGCGGTGCAAATCGCATGCACATCGGTACAGAAACAGGCATTCTTGAATACAGGGCCCTTAGGGAGGGACGCACAATTGGCACAACGAGCCGTGTACTGGCCTTGTCTCCCTTTATCTCCGAGGAGGGGCTAATTCGGGTAGGAGGTAGACTGGCAAATTCCGCGTTGGATTATGATGCGCGTCATCCGATTTTGCTACCCCATAATCATATTTTAACCCAGCGCATAATACGGCATGAGCGTAATGCTCACGCGGGATTGCAAGCTACCATGGCGGCGGTAAGGCAACGTTACTGGCCGATATCATTAAGGTCGGCTACCAGAAAGATAATAAGAAATTGCGTAATTTGCTTTAAAGCTAGACCCGCTCAATCCCAAGCGATCATGGCACCTTTGCCGGCGGGACGGGTGACTCCCTCGAGGCCATTCATGCATTGCGGCGTCGATTATGCGGGTCCGTTTACGGTGCGCGAGTCCAGGAGGCGCAATGCTCGAACGCATAAGGCGTATTTGGCGGTATTTGTATGCTTTGCCACGAAGTGCGTGCACTTGGAGCTTGTAAGTGACCTCACAGCGGACGCATTCATAGCGGCGCTAAAGAGATTCGTATCGCGAAGAGGAAAGCCATCCT